TTAATCATTATGACTTGCAAAATTCCTCTTCTTTCTGATAAATTGTAGCTATATTGTATTCTCTTTTTATTATTAACTCCTATAAATAAGAAAATATAAAAAGTAAAAAGTAAAAAATTAAAAAATAAAAAGTAAAAAATGAATAGAGCTCTAATCATCACTCTAAACTGTTCTAGACACTATATTATACTAGGTCTATAAGAAAAATTACAAATATAATGAATACAAATATAATAATATAATGTTCAATATTTAAATACTAATGTAATAATGAATAAATAAATAAGTAATAGATATTTTAAATTAATTGTTAAATATTGTTCATTTGCAATATTATAATTTGTAGAATAGGTAATTAAAAAAGATCTCTTTCAAAATATAATTTCAAACAATTACTATATACAGGATTCTTTACTTTACGTCTATTAATTGCATGTAATTTGTAAGTTTTAAATGATAAAATATCATGAATTATATACAGTCTAATCTATTTTTCTTCTAATTTTGCAAAGAAGATATTTTTAAGATAAGATTGAGCAACTAAAACTTTGTTACCAATTTTTAATTCAGAGTTTTTAATATTCTTGTCATGAGCTTCTTTTTGTGTTTGTTGTACTTGTTTAATATTTTTAACAGCTTCTTTTTGTTGTTTTAAAGTTATATCTTCTATTTCAAATATTTATTTTATTAAAACTTTATTAAAAGATATATCTTTATCATAATAGGTTTCAATAATAGTTTTTATTAGAAGTTTAGTATTTTTTCTATAGTTTAAGGAGAATGGTATAAATTTTGTTGTACTATATTTTATAGTTCTATAGGCCAATAGAACAGATGATAATATTTGATTCTATTTTTTATAATTATAGCTATTGATTTTAGCTATTGCTTCACCTATTGTTCGGTTAAATTTTTTAATCATATCATTTGTTTGAGGTTGGTATACAGAAGATTTGTGATATTTAATTTGAAAATTATTGCACAATTTCTGAATTAATTCATTTATAAAGTTTCTTTTACAATAACTTAATAGAATTGTTGGTGCTTCATGTTGACAAATTATATTCTCATATATAAATTTTGCAACAGTTTTAGCTTTCATATCAGGAGTAGCTTGTGCTTCTGGCTATTTAGTTAAATAGTCTATAGCTATAATAATATATCTGTTGTTTTTTTTGTAATTGGTAAAGGTCTTTTTATATCAATTTCAACTCGATGAAATAATGCTTTAATTTTGAGTAGTTATAAGGCTTGTCTTCTAACTTCATTGCCTCTTTGTTAGCAAATATCACAAGTTTTTATATAGTTTTTAATATCTTCATATATTGTAGGCCAATAATATCTTTTTCTAGTTTTATTATAGATCAATTCTATTTCTAGATGAGTATTCTGCTCATCATATAAAGCATATAATATCATATCTTTTTGATTTTGTTTTATCACATATATTGAGCTTTATTTCTGTTTCATCGAAATAATTGATCATTTTAAATAAAATAATGTGTACATTTTTTTTGAATTCAAGATTTATTCAAGTTAGTAGCATCTGGCAAAAATATTAATTCAAATAGATATTGGTATATTTCTTAATATAACTTGTTATTTATTATCTATAGTTTTTGTTATAGATAAGCATAAGAAAAAGTCTGCATTTTGGTTTTATTTACCAAAACGATATTTGATATTATACTAGTAATCTTGAAGGATAAGCTACCATCATATTATTCTTTGGACTTAATTAGGTATCGCAACCTGCGATGTGCTTATATATCATATTTTAGATGATTGACCAATCAAATTTCAAGATCAGGTGTAATGTAGCACAATCAGGAAGATTCAAAACAAACGTTCGTTTTGGCAAAAGTTACTTATAACTCAAAATTTCATATATGAAACTATCTTTCGCGCACTAACAAAAAAAATTCCTTGCAAAATTTTACTATAAATTTCTTCTATATTGTACCCTAATTCTACCTAACTCTAACCAAACAAAAAAATCCCAGTTATTTTAGTTGTTATAAGACAAATTATAATTTATATATATAGATACGATGTATAAACATATCGCAGTAGGCGATGCATATATTTATCCTTATTCTTTTATTGTCATTGAAAGTAATGTTGTTTAATAACTATTGTAAAGCTTTATAATTAGTTATAAGCATAAATCTCGATCTATGAATATAATGTTTAAAATATTTTACTATTTAAATAGCAGCTAAATATTTGAGCTCAACTGTACTATAATTTTTCTCTGCTAGTGATAATATTCTAATTGCATAAGTAATAACATGTTTTTTGCCTTCTTTTATTTGTAATAATACTGTTTCTAATTATAGATAAGAAATATCAGTAAATAATAGAAATAGTTAGTCATAGTTAGAATATTGTAGTATTGGTATAGTTGTAAAACAATATTTGAGCTAGTCAAATATTGATTGATATTCCTCTGTTCAAATAAACTTTACATCTTTTTGTAATAATTTAAACAATGATGTAGCCTTTTTAGAGAAGTTTTCTATAAATTTTCAATAGTAAGATACAAGTCCTAAAAATGCTTGTAGTTTAGTTATATTTTTAGAAGATATTAATTTGGTAAGCTTTTCTATTTTTTGTAGATCTGACTTGATTTCTTCATTGCCTACTATATATCTCAAAAATTCCAATTGTTTTATAGCAAAGTGATATTTTTCTGAGTTGATTCGTAGGTTGGCATCTTTAATAAATAATCTGTTTCTAAATGAGGCAATTATATATGACCATATATAGTAAATTGTGATGTATTTTATTATAAATTTTACTATAGCCAAAAATGCTATTTCATATAAATAATAGTTTGTTTATATTAGTCTGCAAATTGTTTTCTTGCAATATCTTGGTATCTACTAATCAGATTTTAATAATCTTACTACTATTAGAATCAGAAAATAATGCTTTACAAGTTTACTTAAAAATTGAAAATATATTTATTTAGTAGAAAAATGACTTTACTTTGTCGTGAAGTGGTATTTGTAGCTTAGCAATTTTATATAGTAAATTATATAAATTTGTATATTACAATTTACTATGTATAGTTGCCTTATTTGGAAACAGATTATTAATTAATTAAATCAAATACTTCTTTTATATCTTCTATATGCTGTTCAAAAGTTTCACTATATATATTAACATCATCAATATATACCATAGCCTTTTTCTAAAAAACAGGTCTTAAGACTTTTTTCATTAACTGTTAGAATGTTGCTAGTGTATTGTATAAACTAAACGGCATAATATTGAACTCATATAGTTTAAGTGTAGAGTAGGACCCCAAAGATCTCTGATATAACTTAGATCTGAGTTTGTATAATATCAGCCAAATAAGCGTATAAAATAGACCAAAATTTAAAAATTTACTATATAAAAATGCAACATTTGATGAATTTCTACGCAAAATTTCTTTTTTTAGTAACCTCTGAGTTATATCAGAGATCTTTGGGGTCCTGGTAGAGTGTATATAGATTATTTATCATATGATATGCATGACAAATTTTTTTTTGTATAACAGATTACATAGTAAACACAAATCTAATTGGGTAATTACCTGTTTTAGAATTATTTTTACTATGTTTTTGTATAACTCTAGCAAATTTGATAAAGTCCTAGGAACTTTACAACATATATATATCTATTTTTAAAAATAATATAGCCTCCAAAAGTTTTACTACTATAAATAGAAGGTTTGATTTGTATATTACAAAATTTTAGTAAAATTTAGCTGTGGTTTTGAGAACTTTTACTAGTGACGTATTTTAATTTATATATAAATCCTGTTGTACCACTGAGATCATATGATAAATGATTGACATACACTCTACCCTTAAATTTAGTTATAAAGGCTGTTTTTTTTTTATCTTTTTCTTTTACTTGTACTTGCCAATATCTAGATGTTAAGTCAAGTGATATAAACTACTTTGCTTTTTCTAATATATTAAGTATTTCATCTATCTAAGATAAAGAATATATATCTTTCTTTGTAATATTATTAAGTTTTTTATAATCAATACAGAATCTTAATTTTTCATTTTTCTTTACAACAAGAACAACTAGTGAACTACAAGAGCTTTGTGAAAATCAAATAATTTCTTCTTTTTCAATAGACTCTATTTTTTTTAATATGTTCATAGCATGTCAGTTTTCTGTGCCAGGTTATATCAATCATACGGTATAACTATATGATCTTCATATATATTACGTAATAAGTTCAGGTACAATCGATTTTTTAAATATCAGAGTTAATTAGATTAGAGGTAGCGATATTGTATAATAAAAATAGTATAACAGATAGTTGATGCTGAGATCAAAATAACAACAGATCACAACAATATACTGACAGATCAATAACAGATTATGATGTAATGTCACATACTTAAAAAATAAATAAATAGGCTTTGACTGATTGATAAATAGAAACTTTGACCGATTGAAAATTAAACTTTTATATTGATTTCTTGAAAATATTTTGTGTTTAATAAATATCATTAATCGTTGTAGTTTTGTGTATTAATACTGGAGGTAGAAGTTGACAAAGTTGATGTCAAAGGTGAAGTTAGGTGTAAAAAGAGAAACATATTAAAAATATACGCAAACCCCCAAAAAACAACCCAAAAATTTTTTTAAACTAATATTCAATATCGTTAACCGCACGTTAATATTTGTGGGCATATTGTAGATTAAAAATTTTAATTTGAAATATATGAGTCAAACAAACAACCGAATAATATATAAATCATTTTGCAGTATAATAAAGTTGTGCAGTGAAGTTGGTGGTGAAATAACTTTTGAATATACATAAATATAGAACATATAGAAATTTCTATAAAAAATGCAAAGGTATATATAAAGAAATATTGCATAGTATATATACATTATTCTTATTTTTTTTTTTTTTATTGAAAATTGATTTTTTTTTTTTTTTTTTTAGGAATATTCGTAGAATTTTCTACCAGATTTTCTCCAAGATGTCTTACCTTCAAGTTATAATTACCTAATTTAGCAATTGACCAAATTTTTTCTGTATCGAACTGAAGAAAGTTTTGAGATACCTCAGTTTAAAGTTAAGGCATTTGTTAATGTCGCTATTATAGAAGATGTTAAGGCATGGTTTGCTACTTTTGAAAAGCATTCAAAAACAATAATAGTACAAACAAAGAGGTACGAAGTTAAAGGAAAACAAGTAATTTTTAGAGAGTCACAGCACTGTATTCACAGTAAAAAGATTAAAAATAAGCAGAGAAATCTTGAATTTAAACGAATACAAACAACACGCAAAAGAAATATGGATTGTTTGGCGGTTATGAATCTAAAATTAGAATACTATAATGTGTCTGATAATTATCCTTTAGAGGTTAATCTTATTTTTAAACATAATCATGTTATTGATTCGGCAGAAGCACTTAGCTTTCATCATGTTTATGAAAAAACAGTTGCAAAATACATACAATTATTTTGTAATAATCATTCTCTAGCAACCGTCTTGTATACTTACAAAGATGAACTTTATATTTCAATTTCATCTAGTGAAAAACTTATTAAAGCTTTAGCTAACTATTCTGTTAACCCAGATTACAATTATGTTAAAAATCTTTTTACTCGCTATCGTGACTCTCAACTTGGTAAAAAAATGGATCATCAATGTTTTAACGTCTAAATGAGAAAGTTGAGAATTACAATATTTCTGGTCATGATCAAGCGGTTTTTCAAGAATATAATTCTCAAACCGGAAATCATTTATTCTTTGTGTGGTTACAGAGTTAATAAAATGAGTACATGAACGTATTATGCAAGCAGGTGAAATTTGTTACGTCAATGCTTCTGCATCATTTAAGCAACTAAACACTTCAGTTATACTTTTTTATACTAGTTGTATTGTAGGTGCTTTACTACTAGGTTTATTCATAACATTCAATAAGCGTGAAATTACTATTGAAAAGACAATAAATCTAAAAAACAATTTTACCAAGTTATGCATTTTTAGTTCAGGGTTGTGATGTTAGACCACAAACTTTTTTAATGGATGATTCCACTGCAGAATGAAATGCATTAGCACATTGTTAACCACAATCAAATTGACTTTTATGTACATTTCATTTTCTTCAAGCTATTTGGCGATAGATCTATAATGCTAAACATAATATTAACAAGGAGCACCGAGTATTAATTATAGATAAAACAAAAAATTCTTTATGCACAAACAATAACTAAAATGAACATTCATTATCAAGAGCTAAAAAATGATTATCAACAATATCCATTACTTATAAAGTATTTTGAAGTTCTTTGAAACTGCCAATAATATTGGGCATACTTATTTTGGTCTAATCTTTTATTGCGTGGCAACCATACTAACAATTACGTAGAGCATAGCTTTGGGCTACTTAAAGATATAATTTTTGCAAGAACACAGGCGTTTAACCCAGTTCAGGTTTTTCGATTTATTATAGAAAATATAAAAAGATTTTATGGGCACCATTTGCTTGAGTTTGCGCATAATCATGCAGGTTATATAAAAATTGCAAAAAGGTTTTTTTTTTGCCCAGGATGGGAAAACATTGATGCAGATTTAATTAAAAAATTAGCTGATAATAATGAATATCAGGTTCAAAGTAAGAAATCTGATTTTATCTATATTGTTAATAATGCGATCGGGACTTGCAGTTGTCCTGTTGATTTAACAGAGTTATCCTGTAAATATCAGGGTGCTGTGGTAGCAAAATATCACATTGGCATAATAAACTTTTTACTCTTAATGACAGTTAATAATCATAGAGTTTACTCTTATATCGCAACAGGTGAGTAATAATGATTAAAAAAAACTTTTTTTTTTTTTTTTTTTATTAATTTGTCGATTTTTATTTAAAGATCTAAACATAGCAGATCATTCTTTTTACGCATCATTGCATGCTACAGTTAAAAACATATCACGAGCATAATAAATATTAATACTATATTAAATAGGTATAGTGACAGAATTGTTTTAAATTTATACTATTTAGTTAAATAGTTCAAAATATTAATAATGGAGTCCTTGTTGACAGTGCTACGTACGTATAAATTTTATAATCAAACCTTAATTTCATCTAAAAATAGAATTTGTTCATATAATTATATAGCTCTGAGGCATTTTGTTAACAATGACTCCAAATTTATTTATATATATAGAGAACCAACAAACAATTTATTGAAAATTGAAAAATCTGAATACCAAACTAGTAATTTACTTAAAATTCAAGGATTGAAATACCAAACTAATAACTTACTTGAAGAAGAATCGAAATGCCAAGTTGATAATTCGCTTGAAACTAAAAAATAGAACACCATGCTAATAATTCACTTGAAATAGAAGGATTAGATGATCAAGCATATGATTTATTTGTTAATTTCTTAGAAAAAATCAAAGAAGATTATAAAAGATGGGATCCTCAATTATGTACAGTGTTGAATAAATTTTCAGCACAATATAAAGCTACCAAGTCTTAATCAATTCCACGATTAACTACTTTTCTTTATGATATCAATCGTAAGTAAGACACTCTGGTACGTATTAAAGGTAGTAAAAAGATTTCTGTTTAGGTAGAATCTGTAAAGCAAAGAAAAACCGAAGCCACAAGTATCAAACGAAGGCATTCAAAAATTAATGATGAGAATAATCCACATAGTATCCCTAAACGCAAAGTAAGAAAGACAGGCAAAAAAGAACATAAATTGAGTAAAAATATTTTAAACAACGTATTGAACTAATAGGTAAATTTTAACTTTTACATTACTTGTTTCAATAAAATTTATTTGAATACTAAATCCAAGATATAATGTTTTTTATAGTTAACAAAATTAACAAGTCAAGTTTTCCAAGTTTAAAGCCAGGTTAGAATACATACTATTTCTATAAAATCTTTGATATTTTTATTTTAATTT